GGGCTTTAGCCGGGGGGCGATCGGTGGAAGAGGCGAGGGGAGCAGCTGCTGTGGTCCGACCGGAGCCTAGGGCAGAGAAGGACCGGGGCGGGCGGGGCGAGGCTGGGTAACCGCTCGCAGGAGCACAGGGTGCATGTAGTGTCAGCACCTTGCTGGTCGTGCTTGGGCTGTGGGTGACCCCAATTGGCCGCTGGCCGGAGCACGGCCCAGCAGGGGGGCTGCCTAAGACCCAACCGGTCTGAGGGCAGCGAGGGAACCAGGAAGGGAGTGTTGGGGGAAGGGGCAGTGTGGGGCTGGAATCATGAAGGAAACGGACTAAGGGGGAGGGGCTGGGAGCCTAGGGGCCCAGGCACCCCATCTCAAGGGGCCTGAGGCATCCTGGGCCTGACTCCTGCAGCCACGTCACGTCTGTGCTGCGCTGTATCCTGCAAAAGCAATAATCGACTGGCTGGCGGAGTCTGTTCTCGCTGCTCCGGGGCTGCAGGATCGGAGGAACCCGACGCGCCGTCTCAGGGCAATACAGCGCGTGCGGTGCCACCTGGGCGCTGCGGCTGCAAATCTCCGGCTACAAGCGCAGGCCACCGAAGCACCAACAGCCAAGGACCCCCGGACTGTGGGTCTGCCCCACCCCACCTCCTGCCCCAGGGACCTTGGGGCCTGCTCCATCCCGCTCCGCCCAGCTCAACCAGGAACGCAAGGCCCCGCCCTGCTGTCCCGCCCCATTCCCGGGGAATGTGAGCCCCTCCCACCTCGCCCTGCCCCACTGGGACTTTGATCCTGCCCCCTGGCTCCGCCCCACTGAGAATGTGAGCTCCCCAGCCACCCTGCCCCACTAGGAACGTGATCCTGACCCCTGGCTCCGCCCCACTGAGAATGTGAGCTCCCCAGCCACCCTGCCCCACTAGGAACGTGATCCTGACCCCTGGCTCCGCCCCACTGAGAATGTGAGCTCCCCAGCCACCCTGCCCCACTAGGAACGTGATCCTGACCCCTGGCTCCGCCCCACTGAGAATGTGAGCTCCCCAGCCACCCTGCCCCACTAGGAACGTGATCCTGACCCCTGGCTCCGCCCCACTGAGAATGTGAGCTCCCCAGCCACCCTGCCCCACTAGGAACGTGATCCTGACCCCTGGCTCCGCCCCACTGAGAATGTGAGCTCCCCAGCCACCCTGCCCCACTAGGAACGTGATCCTGACCCCTGGCTCCGCCCCACTGAGAATGTGAGCTCCCCAGCCACCCTGCCCCACTAGGAACGTGATCCTGACCCCTGGCTCCGCCCCACTGAGAATGTGAGCTCCCCAGCCACCCTGCCCCACTAGGAACGTGATCCTGACCCCTGGCTCCGCCCCACTGAGAATGTGAGCTCCCCAGCCACCCTGCCCCACTAGGAACGTGATCCTGACCCCTGGCTCCGCCCCACTGAGAATGTGAGCTCCCCAGCCACCCTGCCCCACTAGGAACGTGATCCTGACCCCTGGCTCCGCCCCACTGAGAATGTGAGCTCCCCAGCCACCCTGCCCCACTAGGAACGTGATCCTGACCCCTGGCTCCGCCCCACTGAGAATGTGAGCTCCCCAGCCACCCTGCCCCACTAGGAACGTGATCCTGACCCCTGGCTCCGCCCCACTGAGAATGTGAGCTCCCCAGCCACCCTGCCCCACTAGGAACGTGATCCTGACCCCTGGCTCCGCCCCACTGAGAATGTGAGCTCCCCAGCCACCCTGCCCCACTAGGAACGTGATCCTGACCCCTGGCTCCGCCCCACTGAGAATGTGAGCTCCCCAGCCACCCTGCCCCACTAGGAACGTGATCCTGACCCCTGGCTCCGCCCCACTGAGAATGTGAGCTCCCCAGCCACCCTGCCCCACTAGGAACGTGATCCTGACCCCTGGCTCCGCCCCACTGAGAATGTGAGCTCCCCAGCCACCCTGCCCCACTAGGAACGTGATCCTGACCCCTGGCTCCGCCCCACTGAGAATGTGAGCTCCCCAGCCACCCTGCCCCACTAGGAACGTGATCCTGACCCCTGGCTCCGCCCCACTGAGAATGTGAGCTCCCCAGCCACCCTGCCCCACTAGGAACGTGATCCTGACCCCTGGCTCCGCCCCACTGAGAATGTGAGCTCCCCAGCCACCCTGCCCCACTAGGAACGTGATCCTGACCCCTGGCTCCGCCCCACTGAGAATGTGAGCTCCCCAGCCACCCTGCCCCACTAGGAACGTGATCCTGACCCCTGGCTCCGCCCCACTGAGAATGTGAGCTCCCCAGCCACCCTGCCCCACTAGGAACGTGATCCTGACCCCTGGCTCCGCCCCACTGAGAATGTGAGCTCCCCAGCCACCCTGCCCCACTAGGAACGTGATCCTGACCCCTGGCTCCGCCCCACTGAGAATGTGAGCTCCCCAGCCACCCTGCCCCACTAGGAACGTGATCCTGACCCCTGGCTCCGCCCCACTGAGAATGTGAGCTCCCCAGCCACCCTGCCCCACTAGGAACGTGATCCTGACCCCTGGCTCCGCCCCACTGAGAATGTGAGCTCCCCAGCCACCCTGCCCCACTAGGAACGTGATCCTGACCCCTGGCTCCGCCCCACTGAGAATGTGAGCTCCCCAGCCACCCTGCCCCACTAGGAACGTGATCCTGACCCCTGGCTCCGCCCCACTGAGAATGTGAGCTCCCCAGCCACCCTGCCTTGCTGCCGTTGATGTGCATGCGGCGGATCATGCTGCCCTGCGTGGTGACGTCCGTCCAGTAGATCATCTGCTCCCGGTAGTCGAAGTCCAGCGCCACGGCGTTGTTCAGCCCCTGCAGCAAGGCAGCCCGGAGGGAGAGAGGCAGGC